TCCTTTACTCCTCTAAGCCTATATAAAGGCTTCTCATGTACATTGTTTCCTACACCATTATAAGAGAATAAATACCATTCTCTTTTAATCTTTTTTTCTTATCATGGTATCAGAGCCAAGATCATTGTCTTGAAGAGTATGCTCTGCGGTTGCCATCAATTGGATCTTCCGCATCAGAAATTAAGACAATGAGCTCATTATCTTTTAAAGTATGCTCTGCGGTTGCCATAAATTGGATCTTCCGCATCAGAAATTAAGATAATGAGTTTAGGGCTTTTGGGCCATCATCCTTGCTCGTTCTAATCAGCGCTTCTTCTTTCTCGATCCTTTCGATCACCTCAATCCATATTTCTAGCTTTGCTAGTGATTTCTTTTTCTGTCGTTATAGGTGATTCTAGTGACCGTATTGACGTCAAACTCGATGGTTCAAACTATTCTCTTTGGAAACCATCGGCAATGGCAGCACTTGTTTACCGCGACTTGTTTGAGCATGTTGAGGGACTTTGTCCTTGTCCTGGTGCTCTTAAAAGTGAATCATCTGATGAAGTTGCGAAACATGCCGCTGAAATTCGAGCATGGAATGTTGCTGATCGAAAGGCATGGCTATCATTTTTGGTTCCATTGATCCTGCTCTTCGCCCACAATTTTCTAATGTTGTTGAGGCGAAAATTTTATGGGATCAGCTTATGTTCACCTAGACAGGGGACATTCGAGTTTATCAGTTGGAGCAAGAAGTTTACAGTGCTACGCAAGGGTCTCGCTCTATTCGAGATTTCTACAATTACATGCACTCACTTTGGAGTCAACTGGATATTCTTGCTCCTATTCTCTGCCCATCATGCCTGAACTGTACTCGGTGTCCATCTACTCGACTTCAGACTCAAGATAGGCACCGTCTACATTCTTTTCTTATGAAGCTCGGCTCTCCCTATGAAGGTGTTCGCAGCCAACTTCTTCACCGCTCTCCAAGACCATCCCTCCTTGACGCTGTCAAAGAATTACAGTCTGAGGAAACTCGTCTTGGTCTTCTTTCCTCCTCGGCAGTTTCTGATTCAACTGCTATTTTGGCTGCTCCACCACGTGTTCCGCCTACAGTTTTGGCTGCTCCACCACGTCCTTCGCCTACTCGTGGTCCTCGCCGCCTTTCATGTACGTATTGTCATCGTCCTGGTCATGATGAGTCACATTGTTGGAAGAAGAGGAATGCTTCACGCCTTTCTGCATCACCACGAGTCACTACCGCATCTCCAATCTCTCAACCTATTACTCTGGTTTCTCCCTCTACGGATGACCGTATTGCTGCTCTTGAGGCCCAACTTGCCCGTTTGAGTCCTTCTCTGCCCAGGTCTTTTCCCGATTCTGGTACTTCTACAACTCTCTCATCTGCTGGAAGCACCCGCTGCAGCTACTCCACCTTCGCGTGATATTTCTACTACTTAGGTACTTGACTCAGGAGCTGCTAGACATATGTCTACTTCCGCTGTTTTTCTCACTAAGCTCTCTGAACTCAAGCAACCAACACATTTCTTTACTGCTAATGGTTCTCCTCTACTAGCTACCCGATAGGGTACTCTTACCGTCTCTGAAGATTTCAATGTCCCTGATGTGTTACATGTTCCCTCTTTGGCTCTCAATTTATTATCTGTTGGACAACTCACTGATACTGGATGTACTGTAAGCTTTACAAATAGCTCTTGCTTTGTACAGGATCGTTTGAGTGGCAAGATGATTGGCAGGGGCAGTAGACGGGATGGACTTTCTATTATGCAACATCTCTATCTTCCAACTTCCTCTCTTCCTCATCCTATGTTGGCTACCCTCGATCTTGTTCGGTGGCATCAGCGTCTTGGACATATTCCGTCTTCTCATCTCACCGTCATTCACCAATAAGGTGCTTTGGGTCCTATTTCTTTTGGTAGTCTTCCTCCATGTTCTATCTGCCCTTTGGCCAAGCAATCTGCTAAGCCTTTTCCTGTTAGTAACTCTAGAACTAGTGCGATCTTCGATCTTGTTCATTCTGATGTTTGGGGTCCTGCCCCGCTCTCTTCCAAGAGTGGTTTCAAATATTATGTATCTTTTATTGATGATTATTCTCGTTATACATGGGTCTATCTTATGCGTCAACGTAGTGATTTCTTTACCATCTATCAGTCTTTTACTTCCATGGTTTCCACACAATTTAATACAAAAATCAAAGTTTTCCGTTCAGATTCAGGGGGAGAATATCTCTCTGGTGTCTTTCGTTCCCTCTTAGCTAGTGATGGTACACTTCCTCAGTTATCTTGTCCTGGGGTTCCAGCTCAAAATGGAGTTGCTGAACGCAAGCACCGTCATATTCTAGAGACCACTCGAGCTCTCTTACTTGGCACATCCGTTCCCACTGAGTTCTGGGCTGAGGCTCTTCTCACGGCTGTTCATCTAATTAATCGCCTACCCTCATCTGTTCTCCATCAAGACACCCCGTTTCAGCGTCTCTACTCTCGACCTCCTAGCTATAATCATCTTCGAGTTTTTGGATGTACTTGTTTTGTCATTCTTCCACTCACTGAACGTACAAAGCTTACCGCCCGCTCTATCCCATGTGCATTATTGGGTTACAGCACTGAGCACAAAGGTTATCGTTGTTATGACCCAAATGCGCGACGTGTATGTATTTCTCGTGATGTTACGTTTCATGAACACATCCCTTTCTTTTCAACAAATACTACACCTCATGTTTCGTCTCCTGTTCCATTTATGGATTTTCCTGTTGATCCTCTACCTGATCCTTCTAGTCCCTCTTCTACATCGGATCTAGATATATTGCCACCTTCTCCATCTTCACCTATCCCTTGTGCTGCACCTCCTGCTGTATCTGCCCTCGACGATTCTGCACAACTAGAGCCACGCCGTAATCCTCCTCGAGATCGGCGTCCACCTGCCCGGTATGTTGCTGCTACTTCTTATTCTACTGAGTTTGGATCCTTTTTAGCTGCTGTTCATGCTGTACAAGAACCTAATAGTTATCGCGAGGCAGTTCAGCATGTAGAATGGCACCAGGCTATGTCTGAGGAACTCTCGGCTTTGGAGAGTACTGGTACTTGGGAGCTTGTGAATCTTCCTCCAGGTCGCTCCCTCGTATCTTACCAATGGATATATAAGATTAAGACTCGTTCTGATGGCAGTATTGAGCGTTACAAAGCTCGTCTGGTTGCTCGAGGTTTCTCGCAAGAGTATGGTATCGACTATGAGGAGACCTTTGCTCCCATAGCAAAGATGACATATGTCCGTGTTTTATTAGCTGTTGCTTCAATTCGCAGTTGGTCTCTCTTTCAGCTTGATGTGAAGAATGCTTTTCTTCACGGTGATCTTCAGGAAGATATCTTTATGCAACCTCCGCCTGGTCTTGCTCATACCTCTGGACAGGTTTGCCACTTGCGACGGGCTCTTTATGGTCTCAAACAGGCCCCTCGTGCTTGGTTTGAGAAGTGCAGTGATGCTATTCAGTCTGCTGGTTTCATTCAAAGTGAGGCTGATCATGCTATGTTTGTTCATACCTCTTCTTCAGGCTGCACTATTCTTCTTCTTTATGTTGATGATATGGTCATCACCGGAAATGATCGTGACCATATTGAGCATACCAAGCGGCACCTTCAGCAACATTTTGCCATGAAGGATCTAGGACCACTGCGCTATTTTCTTGGGCTTGAGATTGCTCGCAGTTCACGTGGTATTCTCATTTCTCAGCAGAAATATACCGCTGATATTCTGTCCAGGGCTGCTCTATCAGATTCACGTACTGCTGCCACTCCTATTGAGCTCAATCAGAAGTTTTGCCCAGACGATGGAGAACCTCTTTCTGATGTCACCCGCTATCGAACCTTGGTTGGCAGTCTTATTTATCTTACTATCTCCCGACCCGACATCGCCTATGCTGTTCATGTTGTCAGTTAGTTTGTTGCTGCTCCTCGAACAACTCATTATGCGGCTGTTCTAAGGATTATGCGCTATCTTCGAGGCACTTTATCGCGTTCCTTATTTCTACCATCCTCTTCTGCTCTCAAGTTGCGTGCCTATTCTGATGCTGATTGGGCTTCCAATGTCACTGATCGCAAATCTATCACTAGTTATTGCATTTTTCTTGGCGATTCACTTATTTCTTGGCGTTCCAAGAAACAACATATTGTCTCACGCTCCTCTACAGAGTCCGAGTATCGTGCTATGGCCGACACTACTTTTGAGATTGTTTGGCTTCGCCGCTTACTTGCTAATATGGGAGTTTCACTTCTGGATCATACTCCTCTGCATTGTGACAACAAGAGTGCCATTCATATCGGTGCAAATCCAGTCTTTCATGAGCGTACCAAACATATTGAGATCGATTGTCATCTGGCTGGTCATCGTCTCCAAGCTCACATTATTTCACTTCCTTTTGTTGGAACTGAGAATCGACTTGCCGATTGTTTTACGAAGGCTCTTACATCACAACGATTTAAATTTCTTCTTTCCAAACTCTCGTTATTTGATCCACCTTGAGTTTGAGGGGGGTGTTAGAACATGTTATATAGTTTTGTAGGTTTTCCTTTACATCTCTTCTTTCTCTTTGGTCCCACATAGGAAGAATGCTAGGCTCCTTTACTCCTCTAAGCCTCTAAGCCTATATAAAGGCTTCTCATGTACATTGTTTCCTACACCATTATAAGAGAATAAATACCATTCTCTTTTAATCTTTCTTTCTTATCAATATCGACTTATACAAACTGAATATTTAAGTTTTAAGCTAGTTTACGAATGAGTGATTACTAAATGTAAACAAATCGATCAATAGCTTTCCCTTGCGTTTAGGCTGACTTTTCTACTATGATGTCATCTAAAGTTCAAACGCAAAACAATTGCCCAATCATCACACAATATATACACAAATTGAATAGAGGTTGAAGGTTGATCATTCACCCACATATATGCACTGAAAAAGTTTGACATCTATCTAAGCATTCTATAACAAATGATAACACATGTACCTGGCACTGAATATCGATCCCTTGGTCCTTGTACTCAAGAACGACGCTTTTTGAGAACATTGCCATAAAACTGTGATAAATAAATAAAACACTATGTGCAGTTAACATATGTATGCATGAAACCTCAGTTCATGAAAAATAAGAGTAATGATTCCTTAAGTAGTTACTTAATTAGTATCGTAATGTGTCAGGATCGCTTATTAACATATTCCTAAAAAAATTTATATACTTTCCCCAATATTCGAAGACTAACAAATGCAATGGATGTTAGTATATGTTACGTGGTGAAAAAAGATACATAGGAGTATGGATGATACGAAACTTACGCTTTGGTTGAGGAACACAAGGTTTGAAGAGGAAACGAAGAGACGTAAACGGTGGAACCAGAGCCAATATTCACAATCGCTCCTCTCTTCTTCTTCAACATTCCATCGATTACTCCCTTCGTTACCCACACCGCTGCGTGCACATTCACTCTCAATATGCACTCCATCGATTCATCATCCACTTCGTGAAAGTACTTCGCATATGGATGACCGTAAGCCGCTCCGGCATTATTCACCACCACCCCAACATTGAGCCCCTCGGTCGCCTCCGCAACCGCGGCCTCTATTTCCAATCCACTCAGCTTTGCTAAGTCAGCGACTACGGTCTTGACCTGGAGAAAGGGCAAAAGAACACTACAAGTGCCATAACTTGTGTACGGCGCTCACTTTGGTGCCATAAGTTTTTTTTGGATCACTTTAGTGCTAAAATTTTTGAAAACGATCACTTAAGTGCTAAAATTTTTGAAAAACGATTGCTTAAGTGCCAACTCCGGTGCCGTACACAATTTTTCGCCGGAAATCCGACGTGGCATTTTTTATTAATTTCTGAAGCGACGTGGCTCGCGGAGGCTCGCCGGAGATTGGCACTTAAGTGATCGTTTTTCAAAAATTTTAGTCGAAGTGATCCAAAAAACTTATGACACTTAAGTGATCGTTTTCCTCCGACTTGGCACCAAAGTGATCCGAAAAAAAGTTATGGCACCAAAGTGATCTTCGTACACGAGTTATAGCACTTATAGTGTCCTTTTGCCCTGGAGAAAGTATCTTGTCAATTGTAAATTCCCTTATTAGGCATGACATGCAATCACTTTGTTAAAGTAAACAGGTATTATGTTCGTTATATCACATTCTTAATTTAACAAGCACAATAAGATAGTTTCTGACCTGGATCTCTTTTTCGTATCTCTGCATCAACTCGCTCAAGGTGGCTTCGAGCTTATTAGGATTTCGACCCACGAGCACGAGGTTGAGGCCCTTGGACGCAAGCTCGAAGGCTAGGGCTTTCCCGATGCCGTCGGTGGGGCCGGTGACGACAGCCCACAAGCCGTACTCGCGCAAGTTCTTCGGCTTCTTAAGGAATGTGGCATGAAGCCATCGTACGAAGACGAGCAGGTTTTTGAAGATCGAGATGAACCCTAACAGGGCGGCCGCCGTGATCATCAAGTCCTCAAGTTCCATTGCTTTGCGCGTGTTGGATAAGAACTTGAGATAGCAAAACGGCTTGGGTTTTTTCATAGATAAAGGCTATCCAAGTCGGTATGAACTTTGTTTGCTTCCCGAGAAGACTGTTTTTACTCCGTTTCATATGGATTTGAACGAATAAATTATCTGCCCTTTTGATATTGATTTGCCAAGATTTCGCCATCTCGTGAATCCTAGAAGCAAGGGAAAATCTACATTAAATGCGTTTACCAATTGACTGTTTCGCCATTCAATTTGGGTAGCCAGAGAAGATCTCGGCAAGTATCTTTTTAGTTACTACTTTTGTTGAAAAAAAATCCCCAAGTTTGTCTGCGTGTAAATCTATAAAATTACTCAGTCAAACACTAGAACCTATGCTACTTTTAGTAGAACTTAAAAAAGTTTCCCTAAAATCACTTGTTAAGCTTCCTTAAATACGTTTTGAATTTTTTTGCTAATTAAAGATTTTCGCGCAAGCAGTCTTATCCATCCTTGCATTGTTGATTATATTTATGCGCTTTCTCAAATCATTAGTATATAAAGTAATTACTCTTAAAGTAATTAGCCTTCCTTAAAATTGTGTACTTCTTCACTTTACAAAGTGTCTTGAAAAGTATTTTCCTGTCCCTAATATGCTTAATTAGTGTACAGGGATACTTGTAAACAAAATCCTTGTTTTTGGAGTTTAAGTCATTCACAAGAAGGTATAATAATCTTTATTTAATTCTCCTTTCTATGAAAAATAAACTCAACCTGAGACAATAAAAAAAATGACATTGGTCGTCTTTTTTTTTCCTAAGAAACCAGAAAATAGTGGGGATTGTTATGACACAGTGCACTTGAACATGCTTAGATTTTGGTTCACGAATATTTATGCGGTCCATAAATTTTAATTCTCAATATATTCTTATGTATTAAAGTCCATTGATTATCGAATTTAAAGTTATATTGCCTTTTTGAGTGTGAAATTGTCATAGCTTTTTTTAATATTATAATTGATTAATTAGGAACAAGTTTAATAGAGAAAGACAGGCTCAAAGGAAAAAAGCGATTGTATTGTCAAAGGTTGTAATAAGCTGGGTTCATAAATGCTTAATTAGGATACAAAATTAGGGTTCCATTCTGTATCCTAATTCGCAGCAACCATTGAAAACCTTAATTAGGCAAAGTTAGTAGCGAAACCTAATTCTGTGTGTCCTCATTTCAATTTGTAAAGTCTATCATGAACTCCATACACCAAATTCTATGTTTGGAAGAGCCTTGACAGGTAAGGGTGTGTATGGTAACATTTCTGATCCCGAGAACATTTTCTGTTTAGAATTTTTTTTTTCTATATGAGGAGGTTGATTGTAAATCTTTGGGCATTACAATAGATAGGTGCATGGGTCTATTTAGCTTTCGGGTGTAGGGTTTAGGGTGTATGACACAGAGTGTAAGGTGTAGGCTTTTGGGTTTACGATGTAGATTATAGGGTACAGTGTAGGGTTTGGGGTTTAGGGTTTGATAAGCTTATTTTTTTAAAATGACCTTAATTTTCTTTTAGTTCTCGGATTTTTTTTTGGTCAGTAGTTCTTAGAATTAAAAAAGTAAATTTTTTTTTCTTTTTATTTTTGTTCCAAATCTATTCCCTATCACTGATCTATTCCGGGAAATAAAAAAATTAATTTGTTCCGAGGAACAAAAGAACATAAAATCAGAGAAATATAAATGTTACCAAATAGGCCCCTAAGTAGCGGTCAATTAGGCATCAACCACTTCTCTCAACATTTAGGACCACTAAAGACGAAATTGTACGGAATGCTAATGGAGAGTTAATTTGGAAAAATAACTTTGGGTTAAAAAATTGTCGGACCAATTTAATATTTTATATGGTATTGGCTCATTAATTTATTTAGGGCTAATATCACAAAAAATCCTAAATTGATACATATGTGAAAAATTTACCCCAAATTAATTTTTTTACCCCAAAAAATCTCAAACTGGTACACTTATGACAAAATTTACCAATCAAAACCCAAAACTGATACATTTATGGCAATCTTACTCACCGTTAGTTTCCTTTAAATTGAATTAATAACACGAAGAATCACAAATTAGTATACTTGTGACAAATTAGAGAGTAAAACCCCAAACTGATACATTTTTCAATTGCCATGTGTTATCCAAGTCAACAATTTGACAGTAAAATTTAACGGAAACTAACAGAGGGTAATCACAGAGCGTATCAATTTGAAATTTTTTGTGGTCAAAAAATTAATTTTGGGTAAATTGTTTTTGGTGATATTAAACTTTTTATTTTTGTTTCTGATGGGCACCATCCACCGATATAAAAGAGGTTTAATTCAAAGCATGGTTTTCGCTCCCCTGAGGCCACGATTTCCGTTTCTTCACCACCAATTCCAACAAAAAGTTCCGGCGCAAGAGGAATTCGTCTTCTTCTTCGATCTGTCACAGCCAGCCTCCGCATCAGCATCGATTTCGATTCAAACTCTCGTCATCGTGCAAGCGAAGGAGCTCAATCGAGATCGTGGGAAATGGCCAGCGTGAGGAGGTCGCTCGTGGGCGCGCACAGGATCTTCAGGGCCGCCGCCGCGTCCCGCCGGAGCTCGGTCGCCGCTCCACCTCCGAGCCGCTACTCCGAGGCCCTCCTCAGGTTTTCCGTCGCTCTTCTCGCTGACCCTTTTCATGAATTGCTGTTTCAGATGAAGTTGTTTGATGGGTTGTGTTTGTTTGGTTGCCCTTTCTCTGCGCAGGCCTCGGAATGGCTGGGTCTCGCAGTTTTCTAGCGGTGGTGACGGCGTTGCTGGCGATCGGTTCCTAGACATTGATATCTCCAATGAAGAGAGCAAGAGGCGATGGTGCAACAGGTTCTTTTTTTTTTTTTATGTGTATTTACTGTTGCAGTTTATGGGATTTTCTTTAGATGATACTGCGAATTGATTCGGACAAGATGGTATGATTGATTGGTTTTGGGTTTGCAATCGAGTAGGTTGTTGTACAGGAGCAGGCAGAGAGGGTTTCTGGAGCTGGATCTGGTGCTGGGGAAATGGGTGGAGGATAATATTGAATCCATGGATGTCAATGGGATTAAAGCGCTCATCGGTGTTCTTGACTTGGTATTTCTTCCTCGACCCTGCTCTCTGTCTCTCTCTCTGTTTGGCCGATTTTACATGCTCGTGTCGCAATCTAGTTATGCAATTTCGACTTTTCATTGTCTTGTTTGTCGCCTTAGACGCCCGTGAAGGCATCTGTCTTTTGTATTTCCTTTGTCCATGGCAACAGATTTATGACTGTAAGCGAGATAGAGTGATTGGTTGAGATCAATGAGTTATGAAGGAGGAAACAGCTACTTTTAATCTTTTGCGCGCGGAATAGATTGTTTTCGAAGAATTATGCGCAATTATGTGTTTTGGATTTGGGTTAATGTGTGGATAATGGTGATAGTTTTGTTAGGTTTTAACCAAGTGTTAATTTTATTCAACGCTTTGGCCAGAAAAATATCTAGCATTGAAGCTTCAAATCTTGCAAAATGATCTGTTTAAAGTACTTATTGAGTCAATAGTTTTGCTCCTATCAGATGTACCTTTTCTGTAGTCTGGTTATTATGTTTGAAAAAAATTCTTATTTCAGCCACGCAGTTGCAGGGTAAGAGGTGCTATTTTAGAGTTTGTGTGGAGAGAGAGAGAGAGAGAGAGAGAGAGAGAGAGAGAGAGAGAGAGGCAATGGAGATATTTTCCCTTCAGGCGTTAGTGGCATAACCTGCTGCCTTTTGAAGCAGTGTAATCTTGGGTTGCTGTGCCTGTGGTGGTGCTTACTTTGTTGTCTTCTCTAATATAACTTTGTCCGAGTTTTTGGGGATGACATAAATTGTTACCGTAATGGTGCTTGGGCATAAAATTATAAGTTGTGTTCTTTATGGCTGGAATATGCTTATTTTTTGTGAGAGCGGTGCCCTCTTTGTAGAATGTTTGTGTTCATGATTTTAAATGGATGCATGCAAACAATGTTATGATCCACAAATTTAAGTTAGCTTATGTGAGATGCTTAAGGACATTGAAAAATTCTTGTCCCTGTGGCGGAGCTAGGCCATCCCATCTTCTTAGTAGGGGCAATTAAGAGAACTAACATAATTACTATTTTTATTAAACTTTTATGAAATATACATCTAAGCTTTCGATCTGGTAATCATTTATGCTTCCAATATTATTTTTTTTGCAAATAAATTGTTCGAGCTCTTCTCAGTGTCTATAACTATAGAAGAACATGCACATACCTGTGATTCTCCAAAAGTAATCTTCTGTCTAAGAACAATATGCCAACGTGTATGTCAATCAACAATTCACTTTGTTTAATCAGATCAAAGTATCATTTTACTTATTTTAACTGAGATCCATCATTCAATTTCTCCCTATTTTCATTGTCAAAGAGCCAAAGATTGAAAGTAAGAAAAGATCAGGCAACACCGACTGTCAAGGAAGAGGAGGGGGGTGCGAACGATGAGAGAGAGGTTTGCTTTAAAGACTGAATGCCTTAAGGAATCGCCAAACAACAAATAGCTTCATATTTCAGAACAAAAAGTTAGGGATTTTAAAGGATTATGAAAGAATAATCAACTTTCTTTTTTCTTCCCGTTGAAGTGAATGTCTCGGATCCTCAGTCTCTACTCTGCAGACGGACAGAAGATGCAATGGCCTGCAAAGAGTAGAATTCTGCGTGCCAAAAAACAACATGTTGCTGCAAAATCATAAGTTTCGTGTAACATCTGGGGTGAATAATGACCCTCAAGCCTGAGACGATTACTTCTTCATCATTTTTTTTTGTCCAATCCCCTGATTTGAAAAAGGAATGAGTTCCTCATGAAGCTTGCTCCTTGTGGCAGGAGCTAATAGCTTATAGGTAGTAACAGTTACGATGCTGCAGAATCAATAATCACCATTGGGACCGTATTTTTCTCTTGCCAAAGCAAGGAGACTGTTTTTCTCTTTTTACTAATGCTCATTCAATCCTTTATGAAGGAGTCATTGTCCGGCTGACATTGGGTTTCCTTCTGTCTGGGAGTGGGAATTACTTTATTTGGGTTGTTAGCACTTATCAGACCAGCTTATAATGCAGGAAAAGACCAAATAACGATCCTTTAGTCCATTAATTTTGCTTGCTCAATGACTTCTTGTGCTGAGCAGTAAGCACTGAAATTTCTGTGTTTCACTTTTAAGAGTTGTCAATTTCTGTTAAAAATTGGTGTGCTTGATTTACTCAAGGTTTACTATGATTATTCTAATAGTATACTTTGATTGTAATATAGCATAATAAAGATTAATATCAACAATCACTTATAATATGGCCATCAATAGTAAATAATAGATAAGCCTAACTACTTTCAGCAAAATAGGTCAATGTAGTTTGGGTCATTAAACAAGTGGATACGATCCACTTAATTGAACAGTTTGGACAGGTCAATGTTGGGTTTATGGGTTGAATTAAAACTCAACCTGGTTCTAATCGTGTCAAGCACAGAACTAGCATAGACTAAACCTGCTGACTTCCTGTCTGGTTTGAATTGTAGGTCTCTTGTGTCTGGCATTGTCACCCCTACTCCTGTACTCTACATCTACGTCTTCTTTCCTTTGTTTGAGTTGGTAACGTGATGGAAAGTATCTATGTAGTTAAATGTTGCGGATGCATCTCTAGGCATCTTGTATACGAGTACTATAGATTGCAATCAGTTACTCATGTGACTTGTATGCGTCGTGATCTTTTATTTCCTATCACCAGGAAAACCCTGATCTGTGGAAGTGGCTGACTAACCAGGAGCAACCCCCAGAGGCTGTGAAAATGAATCCGGTGAGGTCAAACACGCCAAGAAGTGTCAGTTGCTTTCAATTTGAATAGGTAGTCTCGGTACCTCATCTTCGCTAACTATCGCGGTTTCGTTCATCAGGTTTTCTCCGCAATGCAAGAGAAAGTCATGAACAACCTCAACAGTCACTCCGCTCCCGAGACAAGGGCGTTACCCGGGCAGCCATGGGTGAGAGGGTGGGATGATATCAAGAAAGGCCGAGATGGCCCCATTGCCGGGAATCAGTAACTCTGGCTATATTTGCAAAATTAGCAGGTTTGGAGTACATTACAAGTGATGGGCAAGGATTTAAAGCTGTGTTAAGTTTGTTATTATAATGTGTAATATATATTGTCTATGACATAAATAAGGGCAGTGGTTGCATAAGGAGGAGATAATTTTGCCCCTCATTTCTGTTTCAGCATTTCTTTTCGTCTATTGTGCGTGAGTAATGTCTGCTTTGAATTTATGCGTTACCTTGCTCCGCTAGAACACCGGAAAACAGAGTCTGTTTTGCTCAATGTACCGAATGCGGGCTCTCTTTGTTCAAAAGGGGTCTCAGCATAACCTATGTGTAACTGCGGAAGCAAGGAACACTCTTTTGCAAGAGTGAACATCGGTGGTACATTTTTCTGGGATGAGAAGTCCTAGAGATGGAGAATTCATCAGACAGAATTTCATCTTCCTGGATGCAAAACACTACGTGATGATGAGGATCCTAGTAATATCCAAAAATCAATCATTAACACGTAGAACCAAAAATGGGGGCACTTTAGTTGTCGGGTACTATCAGCGGAAGGTGGGGGTGATTATGATGTTGCATTCTATTGGACCGCCCTGTACTGATGCTACTGACTTGGGTTCCTGGCCGTACTGAAACCGCGATCGAATCACAAAAGAATCAAAGCCACGCAGTGAAGTCAGTATTCAGTACATGCAGTGCTAGGCCTAGGCCAGCACATGAAAAGCTTGCACAGACCGTGCAAGTGTACGTGACTATGCATTAAAACCGCAAGAAGGGTGCGGGGAAAAGAGAGGGGAAAACGAATCTTAGACAGAAATACATAACTGAGAATGAATTTAGATCAAGCTCGTCATGTTCTATTTTTGGGTGCGTGATGGTCTTGGACAAGTACGAGTTTTTCCTCTTGATTTTGGAGACTGAAATTAGGAAAGTTTAAAGACGACTGTCCAAAAGGGCTGGTCGAATTGGAACTGATCTTGCCATCTTAATGCCTCGTTTCTTGAATGGCGTGACCCAATAAAAGACTAGGTGATGTCCGGCAGACATCGTTGGAGCAATTTAGGGGGATGGATTGGATTCTGTCTTTCAATGGTGGTGGGGGGAGTTGGTGGGGGTAGTTCAAGAATCTATATATGCCCTCAAGAACCTTTAAATGCTTTCTCTCATTTTGACATAAACATTTATATCATGATATAACAAAACATATCTAAAGGGTATGGCAAGGGAATTGAATGTCAGAAAAGTTGTGTTTATTTAAACCCACGTTTTTCTTGGAAGTTTCTTTAATGTGGGTGTCTTTAGTTGCTTTGAGGGAAAATAATACAAACAGTTTCTGAACTTTGGCCCAATATGCAATGTAGTCTCTAAACTTTTAATTCGTTCAATATAGTTTCTGAATTTTTTATTTGTTCAATGTCGTCCCTGAACTTTTGGTACATGTTCAATTTAATCCCTAAACTGTATAAAAAAAAAATGTAGTCCTTGAACTTGAATTAATAGAAGAACTACATTGAACATTTTTATATAGTTCAAAGACTATATTGAACATATACCAAAAATCTATGGACCACAATAAACAAATTAAAAGTTCAGAAACCACATTGAATAAATTAAAAATTCAGAGACCACATTGTATATTGGGCCAAAGTTCAGGAACTAATTGTTTGTGTCATTATCCCTTATTTTGGACACTAACATCAAACACTCAAAAGACTAGAGATCATGTTATCCAAATCGACAAAGGAGTATATAACTCGGGGAGATTCTCTTTTGTTGAATGAACCAGAGGTGTCGGCTCACCAGGCTACCTAGAAGCCCACGAAACACTCCGCAAGACCCCATGAAGTGCTTAAGTTTAGATAAGGTTCTTGCTAAAATGTCTTTTAGTATATAAAACAAGGTTCGTGCAAAATTATGTCGCTTCTAAACTGGATTGCCTCGTATAAATTCCAACTCCAAAATTGTTTAAGAAAGTAGAATTCATAAAGGTCTTCTATACATTCCATCACAAGTGTTGTTCTTTAAACCGGTCGATTTCAATTACCATGCCAAAAATCCAATACAATGATAATCGGTCGGTTCTATTAACCCCATCACTCATCGAATACAAAGATCCGACCCAATTTTCCCCTGCAATTTTGACATGGGTTCGATTCGGCTGTTAGTGTATAAATCCTATTAAAAGTGGCGATTTGCAAACTTAAATTCAAGAACACGTTAGAACACATTTAAATGAGGACCCTTCATTAAAAATGGCTAAAGAAAGAGAGACCATATCAATAAGTTAAGGGTTGGTTGGCAGCTGAAACAGGGCCCCTTTTGGCACTCATTCTGCCTTCTTTCCATAACGTAATCAAATTCTTGATAGGTGAAGGGAATCATTCTCTTTATAAAAACAAAGAAATTGGCCATGAAAGAAAAGTGAAAGCAGCCTCTCGATGCTTGGTTTGGTGGGGAATGAATGAAGAGGATTTTGTGGGAGCAATTAACTTAGGTCTTTAATCAAATCGGTTCTTGATTGTCCCACGCATCATATTGTACAAAGACTTGCCTAACATTAGGTAAACCCTAGAGAAACATTAAAGAGAGTGAGGTACGTACTTAGGTCCTGAGCAAGACCTTAAAAGGCTTTGTCTCAGCCTCGTCGGGATCTCGAGATCCCAGGATATAAAATAATAAGAGGGTATTCCCTCCTCCTTGGAGAAGACAAAGATACAAAGGGGGAATTGGAGGTGCAAGGCGCGCGGACACCGACGCGTTAAAATAAAGAATGCATTCGTGGAGTCCGCCCCTAAAATGGGGATAGGCCAAGGAGGCTCTCGTAGGAGGGCAAAATCTCATAATTTGGTGAGGTTAACTCTTAACCGAACATTAAGGACCATTGACTTTTGGCTTTTGAGTTATGGAATGAATTTTGCCATGTGATGATGAAGGGTGGTGTTAATTTGTGTTCTCAAAGTACATTTTGAGCATCGCTGAATATTAGAAAATGAGATTTTGTTTTAGTTAGTAATGAACTGTAATTAATAACTACTAAAAAGCAAAAGAATTCATGTGTACTGTTTTAAGCACCAGCAATAGGGGAAAAGGTTATTCCCATTAGCTTCTTCAGTCATCGAATGATTATATATAAGTGGAAGGACGGACAACCACTGAAATGAACAACCAGCACATGAAGATATTAGGGCCAACTTGTGGAGAAGTGGTGTTTACGACAAGATACGCATGCATAACACTTCATCTTATCTTTTGGATTAGGTACACTATAACCCCTTAATCAGTCAAATATATAATCAACTTTCAAACTTTTCTGTGAAGTCAAGCCACCCGATGTATCTGTGCAATCGAGTTCTTCCGTCATTTTTCGGCAATTTCACTTATGTGAAGTGAAATCATTGTGAGCTCACATGAGATTTCATATTAGCAAATCAAAAAAACGAAATAGGGAGGACTCGGGAGGGTGATAAGAGAAACCTCATTCACTTCAAACATACTGTACATATGTAGGTCAATGAGTTATATTGTCATAAACATAATCAATATAGCTCAATGGGTGTCTTAAAAGTTCTGCTAAGCATTGTGGTAATAATGATTGTCTCAAGCTCTCCCTTTCCACTACCCTCAACTTGAATTCTCGATAGCCCCACTGCATTGTAGTAGGGCAAACCTTCACCTCCACACCATAATATCATAAACATAGCTAAGTACACAGGACTTTAATCAAATCTAATTAATGAATCTATCTTATTATGTGCATGGCCAGCGGGCAACCACCAAGGACCTTCTTGGTATGCATCATCATCATCATCATCGCCTACAGCAACCGGTCATACCCGATATTGTGTTCTAAGAGTCGGGTCTCAGTGAACCCCAATCTTATCTTTGAAATCATATCACATAATTGCAGTCGATAAAGCCCCCTAGAATCTGCTTTTCCAAAAGATGGACGGCCGCTTCCTAAAGAAAGGGGTGATAAGAAACCACATCGATTGAAAGGGGGATGGAGGAAGCCTATCAAATAATTAGTAAAGGGCCTAAAGGCTAGGGGATCGTACCACTTACCAAGTCGCTTTTCATTAATCGCTCTTTATTGCATTATTTACCATGATTTGGTGTGAAAAGAAGGGAAAGTAGAATGAGTCTAGTGTGCAAAAGACTGGTTTGGAGCCTTGTCTAGGGTTAGAATCTTTAGCTTTTCACTCTTTTTGTAGCTAAACGATTGATCAGCTTTGTCACGACAAGGATTGCATGTAGCTATGAAAAAGGAATTATATAGGGGAATGAGTGGTGAGAAAAGTTTGGGATTACCCTCTTTGGAGGTTCGAATATAATCAGATTATGAGACTTGTAAGGTGTTTTATGGATAGTCGGATTACTGGTTCTCCATGCACAAGTCCCTAAATTATAAAACAAAACAAGAAAAGCTCGGGATTACCTATAGTACTAGTGAAAGAATATGTTGCACAATAATATAATAAAGACAACACTCCAAAAAATCACTTATAAATAAAAATATCGCGTACATAATACTAGTATTTGGAGAGGGGATGAAAAGCTAAAGAATAGAACACATCATTTTAGCATACATAAAACAGAGTCTATCTTCAAATTCTTCCGTTCTCTTTCTTGTTTGAGTCTTTTACAATGGAAAACGCGTCTAAAAATGTTAAGGTGAGGGCACCCAGCATGCGTACGACAACAATGGTGGACACTAGAGTAAATTCGCAAGCGAGATGAAGGAACTTTGCAACACCTAATTGGTAAAAGTACGAAATAGAGAAATTTCATTTGAAATGTCACGGAGTAGAACATATATTTGGTTAAGAATTATACCAAATATGGAGCACGCGTGGACAATAAAAAAGGTAAACAGCATAAATGAAGATAGTTTATTAACAAGCATCTTTAGAGCACCGGTTATGTTAACAAAAAAAAGCGAAAAAGAAAACGATACTTTCCAAAGGCACTTTAAAAATGAAAAAAAAAAATTACATTTCTAATAAACTACTTACCACGGATAATAAAACTTTAATTTCCCAAGGCACATTAGGAGGCACTCCTTAATATTTTTTTTTTCTAGATAAAAGTAGGCGTGGAAACTAATTTAAAATAAAATAAATAAAATAAAATAGCGCATAGAGCCATGTATAGAATTTGGAGTGTATGGGGTCCAGTAGTGGACAAATTACATATATCGCATAGAGCCACGTATGGAATTTCGTCTTTACTGCACGTATTAAATATAATACAATACAATACGATACAATATAATATAATATAATATAATAAATTAAATCCACGAGAAAAGGAGGGAGGATTAATTATTTAAAATTTAATGCGGTGGGCCAACGTCCGAAATCAAACTGATATTTTGTCGGGTTCGGTCCGGCTGCATCCTTATTGCGAGCCGTTTTAGCCGACTTTCGAGCCGCCAATTTCGGGGTCTCCGTGCCACGTCAGCACCGTATGTTCGCCCGGTCAAAGTGCGTCCACCGAAAAAAACATTGGTAAAAAGTTCGATGCATTATTAGGTGACTGAAATGGAAGTTCAATTTCCTAGTTGCCTGCCAATACCACCTAAGTTAGCGACTGCGGTTCTGTTTTTTTCGTGAAAAATAAATATTTTAAAATATATATATTTTTAAAATCGACTGCTCGTATCTCTTACAAATGGGTCGACGTGAAATATTATCACTGTTCATGAAAATGTTTAAATATAAATTATGTAACATGTCCCGGTATGATTAATGTTTGTTTAGACACGTGAGGATATGTGATTGTTAGTCAATCATTTGACTCGTTTCGATGCCACCACGAACCCAACACATTCTAAAAGTAAAGTACGATGTGTCGACACGAATGAGTCCCGTTGTGCATTGCGAACTTGCGCCTTTCCAACCCAAAAAATAAAAGCGCTTGTGCCTTCTCTCGATATCATGTCACACGTGAAAAGCATGATGTATGCGGTCCGGTAAGGATGCGATCTAGGAGGCAAGATCGTCACATCCAATAGGGATCGGCCAACTCGAATGCTCCAAAAGAGTCCTGAACACCCAATTATACGTGATCACCAGCCTCGATTCTTGGCAGGACGGCGCATCATCGAGCGCGAGTCTCGACGACGTTCATCGACCCATCCGCTCGAGTTGGAGAGGGCACGATCAAATCAATTTCCCTCGAAACTTTCTTAGAATTTCCCCTCGTGGGGTGATCACGCGGTCATCCTGGAGATACATGCGCCTCACAACACGTCCCGTCCTTGCGTAATATGAACAGGCAATGATCTCGATATAGACCGATGTTCACATCTATCATGCATCATCGTTCAATGTCACTTAATCATTTCACTTATTCACTTGTGCATCTCTTTAGCATATCTAATGGCTTATAGATCCAAATAAAGGCACAGTCGATGTCTCATCACATAACTGCTCTGCGCAATTTCGTTGCGTAACTTTCAATTCGGGTAACTAATATTCCCGTGACATGTTCCCCGTGTGCAAACGTCCCCGTGCTGTACGGGATAGAATAACTCCATCCACTAATTTCAACCTTTTTCTCTCTCATGCATGTTCTCTAGTGGTTTCGAATTAAAGATCACAAATGACATTTTCAAATGAAGTTTCTATTATCTTATGGACATAATTGGCAAAGGTGTTTGAGAACTGTCGGCTCCACTTCAAAAAAAAAAAAAAACTTTTAGTACGAGCCGATAAAATACTTAACTATTAAATCACGTCTTCATTTAAAATCTTAAATTTTTAAAATAGCTGGCAGTAATCTTACAACGGCCTAGGAAACCTCCTGACTACTCCTTCCAGCAAACGTCGAGACTGGAATAGAATATCTACGGTTTCTGCGCACGTCCGACCCGTGAATTCCATAAGATCGACAATCTCGCACTCGATCGGGCACTCCGTCGGAAAAGGGGATTCTGTATTCTTTACGCGATGCCGATGGCAGAGTACGACATCAGCCTGAGAGAGTTGGCAAAGGTCCCCCACTCCCCCCCCTGGTCCCGGACCCTATATGGCAAAACGAAAACAACCCCTTACATTAAGCCGTAAATCTTGTCTTACCCAATGTCATGATCGTCCAACTCCGACCTTAATGTTGGTGGGGCTGCCCTTTTGTACATGTTCTCTACCTAACTCATAAAAAGGTATATCCCATCCCCCACGCCCAAACCCAACCCGACCTGACCCCCACGGAAAAAGTTGGGACAAAACCCAACATTTAAAAAGGCGAAAAAACCTCTATCCTCCCTCCACACACACCACCAAAAATCGGCACCGTTTCGATACGGGAAAATAACATAAATAGTCTCTTAACTTTAGCTCAATGTGTAATATGGTCCATAAACTTCTAATTTATTCAATATAATCCCTAGAATTTTGGTACATATTTAATTTAGTCCCCGTACTAATATTGAACATTTTCATATAGTTCAAGGATTATATTAAATATGTACAAAAAGTTCAGGGACCATGTTACATATCGAGTTAAAGTTCATGAATCACGTCGAACAAATTAAAAATTTATGGATCACATTACAAATTAAGCTAAAGTTTAGAAATGATTTGTGATATTATCCCTTTTCAATTCTATAATAGTCCTCTCTCGATGGTCACTCGTGTCGACAAGCTTGCAAGTAGAGAGAGCGGCCCCGAGTACACCCCTTCGGGTACCTACCGAAAGAGGACAAAAGGACGAATTCAAGATGAGCAAATGGCAGGCACTGCCGAGGGGGGACTTCTCAAAAGAGCTGGGGGCCTCTTTCTCCTTTCTGTTGCTTCCATCCTTGTAAAGAAAGTAAATTTCTTGGGGAGCGAAAGTTTCCATCTGCCCGCCCTTGTTCGTGCAAATCATGCCCCTAATTCACCTGATATCCTTAGGATTTCATGCCCCTTCTCTGTACTTTCTTTTCAATTGGGTCATGCAGACTTCGTTTGCGAAAGAAACTTTGGAACTGGGGGCTTCAAGAAGTTTTGGTTCTTTCTCCATTTTTCATATCTTGTTCTTTGGTTATACAGGAGAGAGACAGCTGTTGGGGGTCAGATCTCAGATGTCCTTGGGGGGTCAATTTAGGCCAAAAGAGTTCAGCAATAGTTAATGTGACGACCCATTTGTTTAGTCCTTGTTCGCAGCACTTGGGCTGCATCGTTAGCTCTCAGATCTCGCAGTGAAAACCGTGTGCATTCAATGATGGTCAATGGAGGAGTTGACGTTCTGATATGGAAGATTTATGCTGGATTTCTTCTAATCGGGGAAACAAAGGACAATAACTAAGAGCTCTGTGCTCTTCATTCTTGCACTTATGTTTTAAGAAGAAGCATCTCTTTGTAACACCCTAAGGAGTTCACCAAGCCCTAGATGAAGCCGATTCGACGACGCCGACGACAGATCCATGTTCGAATCGCGACGCGCCCCGTTCGATATAAGACCATGTCGATTTAGCTTTTACTTGTGGGGATCGATATGATCGGAATCGAAGAGTCGGGTATTCCATCTTGCATCTCTCATTATCGCTAGCGATGTTGTTGTGCTCGATGGCATCATTTTTATGTTGAGTAACGTACCAACTAAACTACCAAAAGCAGCTACAAACTCCATTTTTCATTCTTGCACATACAACATGGAGAGACATGTCGGGGCGACTAATGGCTCCATCTAAATAATCTAAAAGCCACGGAAAAAGCAAAGGCCATGTTAAGCTGAAGCTCGTTACACAAAGTTACAACAAAAGTGGGAAACCCAAAAAACAAAAAAAATAGCAGACTAAGGCAAGAAAATTGAAGACACAGCTAGTCAACGGCCGCTAACGAGGGGGCTAACGGCGGGGTGGGAGTCCTTGCAGGGGCTCGGCGGCGCGCTACTCCGCCCTGAGGAGGCGGCGACGAGCCGGTGCGCGAAGCCGTCGAGGCGCTGCCCGTTCGTCTCCGTCAGCAGCCGCTTCCCGCCGAACGGCAGCGACTCCACCCCCCTCTCCGCCAGCACCTCCTCCTCCTCGCCGCTCCGCCACTCTCTCCCCACCCCACTCGCCTGCGCATTTTCAACGAGATTTCTTCAATTTCAATATATATATATTAATGCTTAGCAAATTATGGCATTTCGACGAGAGAAAATGAATTATATTAAATGAAAAATGGGTTTTCATTTATATATATATAATTTATTTATTTTTATTACCTGAATCCTGACGTAGTCTGCTCGGTTCCAACAGAAGGCGTTCCCCAACATCTGGTCCACCGTCTCCGACACTCCGTCCAGCGCGATGCCCACCACGGCCGACGTCGAGCACTCGCCGTCGCGCCGGGCCTTCCCGCCGGCCGACCCGTTGCCCAGGGACAGCACCAGCAGGTCCTCCACGCCGTTCACCGACGGGAAGTCCCGCTTGTTGTGGAGCACGTGCGTGACGGCGGCGGCGGTCGGGTTGTTCATCACCAGGCCGCCGTCGACGGCGGCGCAGGAGGTCTTCCCGTCCACGGAGGACAGCGGGAACGGCTTGAAGTGCCCCGGCGTCGCCGAGGTGGCCCGGCAGGCCTTCCAGAGCTCGAAGTCGAAGCTCGGCGACTCGGTCGCGTCGGCGCGCGAGAACACGAACGGGGCGGAGCTGTTGAGGTCGAAGCAAGGGATCAGCAGGGGCTTGCGCGCGTCCTTCAAGGTCAGGGGCTTGCCGTCGTCCCGCGTGAACAGCTCCTTCAGCGCCCTGTCCATGCTCTTCCCGGAGAACCTCCGCCGGTCTCGCCGGAACAGCCCCCCGAGCCGCGAGGGCCGGAACATCTCGGGGCCCCGCACCGCGAGCGCCTCGACGGCCTCCCGCGCGGAGTACATCGGGCGGCCGGACCCGTCCCCGGCCGCGAGCATGGCGGCGAGGACGCCCCCCACGCCGGTCCCGGCCAGGACGTCGAAGAAGTCGGCGACGGAGGAGTGGGGGTCGCCGGTGCGGAGGCGGATCTGGTCCTCGAGGCGGACGAGGGCGGCGCCGGCGACAATGCAGGATTCGGGGCCGCCGCCGCCGTCGATGCAGAGGAGGCGGGTGCGCTTGGCGGGCTCGCAGTGGGAGAGCCACTTCTGCTCGAGCTTGGTGAAGATCTCCAGGGTGACCTTGCTCAGCTCCATTCTGCTCCTCCCGCTGTGTCGCTGCCTGTGGGCTACGGTCAGTGTATTTAGCTGGAGTTTAAGGGGGAAGGTTATTCAATGAAGAAGGGGGGCAGCAGCAGCAGCAGCAGCAGCGTCGTCCCGTGAAGAGAGCTGGGGGCTCGCGCTTCGGGGACGGGAGGGCATTAATGGCGGCAGGCTTTGCTCTGTCTCTCTGTCTCTCTCTCTCTCCGGAGCTCAATGGCTATGGCGGGGGAATACTGCAACTGTGCAGAGGAAGAAGAAGCTGTAGGAAGAGGAGAGAGAGGTCACTGTGCGATCTGTGAGGAAGGGGGAGTGGTTTGATCTGAAGAGGAGGGGTTAAAGAAAGAAACTGAGAGTGAAGAGGAGTGGTGGTGGTGGTGGTGGGTGGTGGTTATGTGTTATGTTTATATACGACCTTTCTGTCGCGCTTTTTTATTTGATTTATTTTTTTAATTTTTTTTTAGTGACGTGCACAAATAGGATCTTCTCTCTCTTTATTTTCTCGCTGCTCAATTAGATTTACAATATATATTTATAGGTTCAAGTCTTTTTTATAAATAAATAAGATGGTATGTAAACAAACCCATGACGGGTTGCAGAAATATAGCTACGAGGAAGAGATATGCATACATAAAACTATTTTCTGAATCCTTAAAATGTTCGGAATTTTCAGCTTGGGAATCGGAGGTTATTTGATCTGATCTCGAGAATTGCGTACAAAATACTTCGGATCAAACACATTTGAACAGGTTAATGACCCACCACAAAAAAAAAAAACCGTTTGAATGTGTCAGGGCCCGAACCCTTAATGGATTTATGAGATTTTGTCGGCGTTTCTTGAACCTTTAAATAGTTTGGCCTTCATACCTTTGCTTCTGGATCATAAAGCACGCGAATTTGGATAGCATTGTATAAAATGTAACACGTTAGATAACAATTGTACTAAAACTCCGTTTGTTTTGCTGAAAATGAATGGTTTCGAAGATATTTTCCTAAAAATAATCGCTTGTATTTATTTGAAAAAATGAATAAACAAAAAAAAATTCATCGTCCATGAAAATATTTGGATATATTTTATTATCGATAATGAAAATATTTTTCATTTAAAAATGATTTCAAGTGATACAAGTAATTATTTTTAGGAAAATGTTTTACAAATCATTCATGTTCCGTGAATCAAATGGAGCCTAAGTACCGAGAAACCAGTAAGCAACGGCTGTACCTTAGATACTTTTATATATATATTTATAAAGTCTATAATATATAATATGTTGTGTTGAGAAACTTTTTTCCAAATGTCATAGATTTTTTTGTCATTAAACACCCATGCAATTCTAGAGTTTTTCTTTTTCAAATAATAATTCAAATTTTCTCCTAGTAAATCTGTGGGAGAAGATCACTTGCTATCTCCATCCGTAGAGAAATATTTAGTTCTATCATAATTGTTTTTATACGTCGGATAATTGACAATATCTAATAGTCACGAGATAGAGAAATATATTGAAAGTATCTAAGTCCATCGCAATTCCGAATATAATATCTAATATTATCCTATGTGGAGTAGGTAATACTAAAACTGACAGAAGTGCATTTAATGTGGATATTCATCAGCAAAAGTCTCTTTCCTTCCTAGAGAAAGTTTAACAAAAACTCTTTGAGCCCTTAATTTAAATACAAATATCTAAATATATTATATTAAGGGTTAATACTATAAAAAACCTGAAACTGGTACACATATAATAAATTTACCCAAAATTAATTTTTTGACAATCAAAAACCTCAAACCAATACACCTATGACAATTTACCTTTCGTTAGTTTCCATTAAATTTTTCTATCAAATTTCTAAATTGCATGACATGTGATAGTAGATGAGTGTATTAGTTTGGGGTTTCACCCCCCGTTTGTCACAGATTTACCAATTTGTGATTTTTTCGTGGTATTAATCCAATTTAACGGAGGATAAATTTGTCACGGGTGTACCAGTTCAAAGTCTATTGTGGTCAAGAAATTAGTTTGAGGTAAATTTGTTACATGTGTACCAGTTTGGAATTTTTCGTGGTATTAATCCAATTTAACAGAGGATAAATTTGTCACGGGTGTACCAGTTCGGAGTCTACTGTGGTCAAGAAATTAGTTTGGGGTAAATTTGTTACATATGTACCAGTTTGGGGTTTTTCGTGGTATTAACCCTCATATTAAAACTCATATTACATAAATTAGGAGAGATATTTTTTGTTAATTTCATTTTTTTTATTTTTTTAAAGATGAACGCCAATTCAACACATAAGGCTTTCCCATTTCTAATAAACGTTTATATGTTTCCAACAAAAGTAACAATTTAAGAGAATATCTTTTGATATATCAATCTATAATTCTCTATAGGTAGTATAACCGATTATGTCTGAAGCATCTAATTCTTTAATTGTTTCTCGATATATACATATACATGGTAAACTTTAAGTCTACTATACATAGTAATATTTCTTAGGCATATGTTCATTAGAAATACTAAAATTTGTTATGAAAGTATAATTGAGTTCTAAAACTTACAATATGTGCAATCAAGTTCTAAAACTTATTAGATTGATTTAATCGAGTCCTAAAGTTAACACCATTTAACTTACTAATAGAAAACGCTGACGTGGCTTGTTTTAATATTTCCTCTCTCCTACATAACGATAATGTGGCTAAATTAGAAAACATAAAACTAAAACAACGTCGTTTTGCCCTATATTTTAATTTTTAGTATTAATTTTTAATTAAATGTTAAAAATAAGCTAAAAAGAATGGACCCACAACTAGCTGCAGTAGGCAAGCCCTCGCCGATGGCCGCCACTACAACTATCGAGAAGGGTTGGCAGAGGTCGCTCGAGCCTTTTTCAAAGCCCGACAAACCTCACCAGCCCCAGGCGAGGCCCTGATGTGGGGGAGGGCGCGATCCTCACCCCAGACCTGAGTGAGGGTGGCGCCCTCCCCCAGATCGAGCCTTGCAGGCCCTTGCCGAGGCCTCGCTCGGGGCTTGCAAGGGTTGCCGAGCTTTGGGAAGGCTCAGGTGACCTTCGCCGACCCTTCCCGTCGAATGTGGTGGCAGCCACTGATGAGGTCTTGGCCATAGTCGCTGAGTGTGGGTCTTTTTATTTTTATTTATAACTTTTAGCTTTTTAAATTTAATTTAGTTTAATTTTTTTTAACATGGCGCTTGTTTGACCCCACATAATCACCTTGTGTCTCAAAAAGTAATAAAATAAGATATATCAGCATTTTTCATAATTTAGTTGGACGAAGTTAATGGAATGACTTAATTGAATCAACCTGACAAGTTTTAGGATTTGATTACACTTTTTGAAAGTTTTATGATTTAATTGTACTTTCGTAACAAGTTTTAGGAAATCCAGTGCACATATCCCTACTTCTAATACTTTCTTCGCATCGCACAAGAAATGACTTTCTTTTCCTTATAAATTGTTAATAATTTGTGTGAATAGATTTTTCAAGATGGATTAAAAGATTTGATATCATTTCTCTGTCTCATCCCATCCCATTATTAGAGCTATAATGCAATTTTTCCTGTTCCACAACTATTCATTTGATCTCCGATTCATTAAAATGTCACGCTTTGATAGTTTTTTTTTAATGCTAAAAAAGTATTTTATTGTGCCATGGGATTTTCCAAACCATTTATTTTCCATAAAATAAATGAAGCTTTAGTAGTCGTTTTTACACGAATTTTTATTTCATGAAATTCCTTGTAATTTTGTAAAGACGTATGTTATTTTATGCAAAATAAGTTTACACCTATTGGAACCCACATCGCACGTGTATCATGTGACTAAAAAAACGGCAAGCACGAGGGGATGGTTATTAACGAGATACTTACACAAATGATCTATAAACTTTGCTCCAATGTGTAATGTAGTCTCTAAAATTTTAATTTGTTCATATATGAACTTTAACCCAATGTGTAATGTCGTCTGTGAACTTTTAATTTGTTCAGTGTGGTCTCTAAACTTTTGGTGAGTGTTAAATCTAGTCCTTGAATTATTATATCACTCAATTCAATATAGTGCTTGGATAAATTAAATATGTACAAAAAGTCCAAGGACCACATTGAACAAATTAAAATTTCAGGAACCACATTGCATATTGGGTTAAAATTTAGGGACCACATTGAACAAATTAGAAGTTTGAGGACAACATTGCACACTAGAGCAAAGTTTAAGGACTTTTTGTGTCATTTCTCTCAATTAACCATGGAATTTGGAAAAAGGTCTGCCTGCAAATTAAACAAAATAGCGCTATGTTCTAATTATTAGAACGCACGGTAGAAGTCGACTAACTTTATATATAAAAGCTATGGTCTAAATTCGAGCTTGGTAAGATATATAATCACACTAACCTTCATCGAAAAGTTCATATTAATGAATTATAGGCATGATTACAGTGAGACAAGCGACTTTTGTTCTTGGAAAATTGATGTGCTTGGACATCGAATGCCGTAAAAACATGTAGAAACAAGGGTTAATACCATAAAAAACTTCAAACTGGTATATCTGTGATAATTTTACCCAAAATTAATTTTTTGACCACAAAAAATCATAAACTGGTACACTTGTGACAGATTTACCCCAAACTAATATTTTGACCACTAAAAACCCCAAACTAGTAAATTTGTGACAAATTTACCCTCCGTTAGTTTCCGTTAAATTGAATTAATACAAAAAAATTCACAAACTATTATACCTGTGACAAGCAGAGGGTCAAACATAAAATTGACATATCAGTCAATTGTCATGTGTCATTTAATAAAGCAATTTGACAGTAAAATTTAATGGAAACAAACTGAGAGTAAATTTATCACAGGTGTACCATTTGGGGTTTTTGTTGATCAAACTATTAATTTTTAATAAAATTATCATAAATAAATTAGTTTGGGATTTTTTTTTATGATATTAACTCTACAAACAAAAGGAAAAAGGAGCGAAGGCTTGTGTAATCTAAAGAAAACATCATATTTTTTCTTTTTCAGGCGTGTTTTTTTGTCAGAGAATCGGGTTCATCGTCGGTCTTTTGATCCCTCGATCGGTGGACTCCCGGTCAGCGCCACGTTCTTTGACAGGCTTCGTCAACAGGTGATCAAAGCCGCCTTAGAAAAGCCTGGTGGAAAATAATAATAATGAAAAAAAAGAAAACCCCCCATTTCTGAAGGTCTTAAGGTGAATCTAGGCAATTAAATTGCCAACACGGTGTTGGCTCGGGCAGCAAGAGCCTCATCAATTCTCTCCAAATCTTTTTCTTCCTTGGAGAGGGAGAGTATAAGGATCTGTTTAGTAACATTTTTATTTTTTTGTTTTTCTGTTATTTTGTTCTCCGGAACAGAAAAAGAACAGAAATCCG